CCAAGTGCGGGAACCACCCCCCAGCATGTGTGCCAGAGATAGTCACATGAAAGCAGTGGACACTTGACCCCTTGTCCCTGTTGGCCCTTTACTGGCCTCTATTCCTCCCCATCTGGCTCTCAGGGCAATTTTTTTGTGTGTACCAGCAGTACATCTCTCCTTTATAATTTATAATCCTCTCATTTCCTCTTCCCTATCACAATTTCTTGTTGAACTATAATTCATATGCTAGTAAAAATTTCAGAATATTAATTTTCAAATTGCCTAACCTGTCCTCAGGGAAGAAGGCTTTTGATGATGCTTGATGGGAAGATGTTTTCTTTCAGGCTTGGGTTGTATGTTTTCTATGGCATGCTGTGAAGGCAAGGCACAGGGAGCAAAGCAGGATGGTGAATGTTGTCCTGTCTCTTGGGGCAGAACCAGGTTATGGTGTATTTGCTGTCTGAATGTGGGGGTGGTGAGAACACGGAAGTCTTGAAGAATCAGAGCCACACATCTGCTATAACTCTGAGGATGGAGAAAGACCTACAGGAAGCTCCTGAAAGAGCTCTGCTCTGGTCCCTCTGCCTCTTCTTCAGGAAAAAAGGAAGGAGCCATCACTTGTGAGGTGTGTGTGCATTTGGGGCAGGGGACCAGGAACTGTTTGTTGCTTTACCTTTAGATCCTTTAATCTCAGCACCATGCCCCTTATTGTGGAAGGGAGGGATTGGATTGTCAGTAATAAAATGGTCTTACGTGTACCCAGTTTTTCATAGGATTCCAGTAGATGATTGACAAGACTTAACTTGAGAGATGTGTGAATTACTCCAACCCATAAAAACAGAATGGAGGATATTAGGGTTATGTCTCTCATCTGTTCATCTGATTTCCCAAGCTCGTAAGTCCTCAATTTAGAGAATTTCCTCTAAACTCTTGTCTTTCCTTCTCTCTTTTTCTCTCCAAAGCATGTTCATCATTACTTTACTTATTTCTTCCACACAAGCCTTTGAGTCCTCCTGCTCGGGCCCTCTGTGTGGGCGGCTGGATTTGGTGCTGGGGAGAGGCGTGACAAGAGGCCAGTTTACAGACTGACCTCAGGGTGCATTATATCTAAAAGCCAGGTTGCTCCTGTTGGCCTGTGTCCCATAGGAATGCCTGAACTACTCAGCTTTGAATTGTATTGCAAAAGGTTCTAGAATGAACATCTTGGAAGGGGGCTGAGGGATGTGGAGTGAAGAGAAAAGCCCAACTCATCATATTTCATTCTATATTGGCCTTAAGTATTAGTTGCATTTTCAAGGGCCAAGATAGCACGATATACACACACACACAGAAAACAGCCCTTTGACATCGTTACGCTTCTCTTTAGAGTAAGGAGATAAAGTGGGCTTATTCCTCTGGACCACATTAGCAGTGACCCAGGTAAAATGGACTCCTCTGTGGTACTTGGCGGTTGGTGGTAAATAAATAGTGGTGAAACAGGTCGGCCCGGTCTTAACTTTATCCAGCTCCTGCTTGCTGACACCCGGGCCGGGCCATTAGAGTGTATAGTATAGAGAAGCCGTAGAATGTGGCATTGGCATCAGGAGCCCGAATCTCTTGACCTTTTCCATAATGAGGACCTGACTGGTGAGGGGCACTTGGCCACATCGCTGAACTGTCTCTGGGTATCTTTTTATTCATCTGTCCTTTAGTTTTCTCCTTTCTTTGTAGCCTCTACCTTTTCTTTCATTCTCTCTTTGGTCTCTTCTTCCACTTACCCTGTCCCCACCTTCCTGCTTACCCACACTTCTTCTTCCACCTGGAAAGATGAATTACATTTCATTTATTTTTTAGAAGCTTAAGGTTGACCACAGGCTTCATTGCCCATTGAACAAACTGTATTAGGATCAACTGAGTGGAAGTCACATGTTAGCTTGTGGGATTGACTTTCTCCAGGCACCCTTTAAAGACACTTGTACTTTTTGTTGTTGTTTAGTATCAGAAGAATCCAACTTCATAAACGATTAAAAAGAAACATTGAAAAACAGAATAATTTATTATTTATTATTTTTTTATTAAAAATTATTGGGGGTGGCATTGATTAATAAACTCAAATAAGTTTCAAGTATACAATTCAACAGTACGTCGTATATATATTACATTGTGCGTTCACTACCCAAAGTTATATTTCCTTCCGTCGCCAAAGGAAAAACAATAATTTTTGAAAACATTAATTTCACCACAGTAACTCAAGATATCTTTTTCTCTAATGCTTTATATTTAAGATGTGGTCTTTTTTTTTTTTTTTAAGCCGTGGGTTTCTCTAAGCTCATAACCTGAATTGGCTGCAAAACAACCAGGTTCTCTTTATTTCAAAGGAGAGCGAAAGTACTTGGTGAAACAAGGCTGGTCCTTTTGGTTGCTGTCCAGAAGCGAACTGACCCAATTTCTAAAACTGTCATCTGTTCACTGAGATGTTTTCTGTTAATAGTGGTCTTTGAGTGAGATTCTGTGTGTGTCTGTGTGTGGGAGGTTTTTTTATTTGTGATCTTTGTACATATTTTAATTCTATAATATCTTGAAATGAAGTCACTCGTAGCCCAGTGTCTACTGCAGCATGACTAAGAATTTGTTTTCCTCTCTGCATCTAGCTCCCTAATTAAGAAAACTACCACTCAGATTGATATCAATACTAAATGAGAGTATTAATATAAACAATTTTAAACACTATACAGCTATTAGATATTTCAAACATTTTAAAAAAGATTTACAATCCTCGATATTAAAAGATTTTTCTTAAAAAAAAAAAAAAAACCCCAAAGGCATTCTGAAACGATAATCAACATTGTTTTTAAGATTCTGCATTAAGAGTCTACATCATCTTAGGCTCTCTGAGTGACAGCAAAGAAAAAATCTATTCATAATATTTATTAAGAACTTTCAATGTGACTAATATTTCCCTTTATGAATTTTTTAGTCTGACTTTGTTGTAGAACCAACATACATAAAAATGACCTAAGAACAGTTGAGGTGGGGGTAGAGAAG